TCACGGCATTTCCAGTTTTGAATGGGAACGGCTGCAGGTCGCCGCCGCCAGCACCATGCAGCCCTCTGCCAAGATGAGGTCTCGGACCTCAGTGCTCATTCTTTCCGAGGACCCGACCTGGCACCCCGCCGTGGCCCCTCATCGTGCGCTACGCCGAGGAAGTATGGGCCAACCGAACTAAGCTTTTCCCGTTTGTCGTTCCTTGGGCTGAGTGGCGGACCGCCTGGGCCTGTGTGTTTGGTTCTTCTGGCCCCAAAACCTGGCGCGGGGTGAAAGGGCCCCTTGGGGCCATGAAGCTTGCCCTGGATCGGGTTTCCTGGAGGGTGCCCAAGTGTGCCCTCCTGGATGATTTCGGGGCCGAAGTTCCCCTCGCCGCCACCTCCCCCGCCCCGCTGAAAACAAGCTTCTGGAGGCCGCGGTGCGGAGGGCCCACGAGCGAGCCAGTGGCGCCGCTCTGCATCCTCACACGCCTGGTGCTCGAGTCTGTCACGATGTCGTGGCTGCCGCACTTCGCCCCAAGAAGGGCGCACCTTTGCTGCGGGGGTGTGCCAAAGCTGTCGCTTGTAATGCCGCGTGGACGAGGGTGAGGGCTGCGGGAGCAGGTTATGGGGTTGACACAACGTGCGACCTCTGCGGTGTAGCGGCCGACACCATTCTTCATCGGCTCTGGTTCTGCTCCGCGTGCCATGACAAGCGGCAGGAAGTGTTCGATCGTTTCAAGGAGAGGTTTACCCTCATGCCCCCGCCCGACCTGACCCGTGACAAGGATGAGGAGGATTTCCTGTTGTACACCAGAGGTCTGTTTCGGCATCCAGGAGATGTTTTTTTTCTTTTTCCTGTTCCCGCTCGGGGTGACGTTGAGGATACTGGACTTGAGGTTATTTGGGCCCACGACCGCTCCTGCGGGCCTCTCGACATCTCTGGGCACACTTTTGTTCATGGGTCGTGTGCTATTTATACCGTTAAAGAGCTCTCCAGGGCTGGGCGGGGAGTCGTAGTTGTAGGGGGTGATGGCGACGAGGTTTGCCGCATTAGTTGTCCTTCGTGGGCCCCTAACCTCCAAACTGCCCACGGGGGAATTTGGGGCCTATGCTGCGATGCACGCCCAGCCTGGGGGCTCCATCTATTCAGATTGCAAAAACATTGTGGTTCAAGCTGACGAACCTTTGATGCGGGCCCTGTCTTATAAGCGTGTTTACTCTGGTTTTCTGCCCCCCACCCATCGGAAGTTGGTTGAGGGAGTTTTCAAGGTCAAGGCCCACGTGGAAGAATCGAGGGGCCTCTCAAATTTGGACCGGTTCTGGAAGCTGGGCAACGACCTAGCTGACGGCATTGCCAACCATTCACTCGCCAAGCACCCGCGGCCCGACCCGTGCGATGTCATATGGCTCGATCGGTGCCTGTCTATCGCGAAGTGTGTAATGCGACTTTCCGCCGAGCTGATGCCGTTATGGCCCAGGCTCGATCTTAAAGGCATCCCTTTGGTCCCTAAGCCTCCGAAGCCCAAACTGGATCCCCGGCCTCATCGATGGGTTCGGGTTTCCGTTTTTTGGCAGTGCTTCGAATGTCTCAAAGTTGCCAAGGGAGTGCCGCGTTTCAGTCCTCCTGGCGAAGGCAAGCTCGGAGGCCTTGACCCGCCGTCCCCAGGCGAGCGTCTCAGAGATTCCAAGCTTGAGGCGGCGGTCCTCCGTGCCCTCCAGCACACTTGTATTGCCTTGCTTTGCTCGGACGGGGCTGTGCTCACCATCTGTATGCGATGCTATGCCTATTCCTCCCATGGGCTGCCTCGCAATTTACTTAAAAAGTGTGATGGCTGTCCCCAGAATGCCGGGGCTAAGTCGGCCTGGATTTCTGTGGGCACGGGCAAGCACCCCAAGCGGCGAGGCGTGTCTGTCGAGGTTGGCCCCTGGTATGTTGACCAGGACTCAGAGGAGCTGCCGCGGCGCCTTTCCGACTTTGAAAAGGAGGAGCGCACGGCCAGTCTTGTGCGTGGGCTCATTGTCGCTGCTGGGGGAACGCCTAGGCCCCCACCAGCCGTTCGAATGGAGGTTGAGCCCCCATTGTCACAGGCTGCTGCACAGAAGCAGGGAGATCGAGTCGTCATCTGTCCGTCGTCGTCGAGCACCGAGCCTGCTCCTGTGCACATGGCAGCGGATTCAGACCCACTGGAAGTGGTGGAAGAAGCTTCTCCTAACAGACCCAGCAGTTTAAAGCCTGTACCCCCTGCGTTGGAGCGGGAGACGGCGGGCCCTTTGATCGCTCCGCCCAGTTGGCCACAGGGCCGCATCTGGATGGCCCGTCACGGGGGTCCTGGTTCGACGGTTGAGTCAGGCCCACACCAGGGGCAGAGCTCGCTGCCGTCCTGGCGTTCGGTGCACCAGGGGTAGTGGAGCCGAGTCGTCTTGGCGTCGCCTTGTGTTTCGTGCGTGTTCGTGCGCGCGTTTGCTTGTGCGTCAGGCACCCCAGTTGTGGGGGAAGGTACGCTGCACGGGTGATATGTTCTGAACTATTCTCTGGGCTTGGCACGGGGGCGGTGCTCCGCCCCGACCGTTGCCCTGCCCTGTCTTTGCTTTAAGACTCTGCTGCGTGTAGCCCTTGCACCCTGCGTTGGAGCGGGATACGGTGGATCCTTGATCGCTCTGCCCAGTTGGGCAACGGGCCGCACCTGGAGGGCCCATCACGGGAGCACTGGCCACCGTCCTGGCGTTTCAGTGCACCAGGGGTAGGCCAGCTGCGTCGTCCTGGCGTCGCCTTGTGTTTAGTTGTTCGTGTCGTTTGCGTCACCTGCGCGTGTGTCAGGCACCCCAGTTGTGGGGGAAGGTGCGCAGCACGAGTGTCTCGTTTTGTCTCAGGCTTGGCACGGAGGCGTTGCGCCTCGACCGATGCCTTGGCCTGTCGACCCCCGCCCGCTCAGAGCGGTGGGGCAGCCCGCATGGGCGCAATGCCCCCCTGGATGGTTGCTGGTGCGCGTCGGCGCGCCTACCCCCTACCCTCGAAAAGGGGGGAACCTCATGTGCTGCCGCAGCTTTTTCGTAGTCCGACGCCTCGGACTTTGAGGTGCCCCTCGGGCCCACCCTGGGGACGCCTCGGCCTCGACCTCTCTTCTATGGTCTTGGCCTTGGGGGGCGGGCGGTTAGCCACAAGGGATCCTCCCCGTTGTGGGAAATCGCCCCGTGGCTGTCGCGCCCACCCTCCCTGTCCCTTTTTTCGCACTGCTTGCTGGCCTGCCTTCATCCAGGCCAGGGAGCAGGAGGCGACGGCGGATCCGTCGTCTGTTGGGCACGGTTGATGTCAAACAAAAAATCCTCCTCCGTTTCCTCCTCCTCCTCCTCCTCCTCCTCCTCCTCCCCATGCCGATGGTCACCGCAACCTTTGGGGCGGAGGTTGTGCAGGACGCATGGGGCGCCAGTAAGGGTGTGCGATCCGCGCACGCCCGACGAGCACCTGCACAACCGCCCCGAAAGCCAGGGAGCCTGGGCGACACCGGCAAAATCGATCGAGGCATTCGCCTCCAGGACACAGTTGAATGAAAAGGCCAGCGGTCCTGAGTGCTTGTCGTTCCGTATAGTGCCTGCGTCACCGTAGGACGCAGTAGTACCAGCGGCACCACATGCATGTCGTTCCGCAACGCCTCGTGTTACTTCGCACGCGGGCGCAAGAGGTAGATGCCTCCAGGACACAGTCTGGCGGCAAGGCCAGCTGTCATGTAATCGATTGAAACATTTGCCTGCAGGACACAGTCTGGCGGCAAAGGCCAGCGCTCCTGAGAGCATGTCGTTCCGCACCGCCTGTGTCCCCACACGCCTGCAAAAGAGGCAGGCACCTCCAGGACACAGTCTGGCGGCATGGCCAACCAATTACGAGCCCGTACGTTCCGTGCGCCTTCATGACCTTGACCCCCCCCGTTCGTGGCCATGCTCCAGCACTCCCATGATATCCTGCATATCCAATACCAGGTTCACCATGGCACGGCCTCAATGTACCCCACGCGTCTGCAGAAGAGGTAGCTACCTCCAGGACACAGTCTGGCGGCAAGGCCGGCGGTCCCGTGGTCGATCGAAGCATCCGCCTCCAGGACAAAATCTGTCGGCAGGGCCAGCGTTCCTGAGTGCTTGTCGTTCCGCAGCGCCTGCGTCACCATGGCACGACCTCGCTGTATTCCACGCGCCTGCAGAAGAGGTAGATACCTCCAGGACACAATCTGGCGGCAAGGCCGGCGGCCCTGTAGTCGATCGAAGCATCCGCCTCCAGGACACAGTCTGGCGACAAGGCCAGCGGTCCTGAGTGCTGGTTGCCCCGTAGCGCCTGCGCCACCGTGGCGCGGCCTTGCCGCATTCCACGCGCCTGCGAAAAAGGCATTTGCCTCCAGGACACAGTCTGGCGGCAAGGCCAGCGGTCCTGTAGTCGACTGAAGCATTTGCCTCCGGGACACAGTCTGGCGGCAAGGCCAACGGTCCTGAATGCATGTCGGTCTGCAGCGCCTGCGTCACCATGGCGCGCCTTCGCTATACCCCGCAAGCCTGCGCAGAAGTAGAAACCTCCAGGACACAATCTGGCGGCAAGGCCAGCGGTCCTGTAGTCGAAAAAGGCATGTGCCTCCACGAAACAGTCTGGCGGCAAGGCCAGCGGTCCTGAGCATGCCGTTCCGTACCGCCTGTGCCCCCATGGCGCGGCCGCGCAGCACTCCGCGCGCCACCAAAAGAGGCAAGCACCTCCAGGACACATTCTGGCGGCAAGGCCAACCATCCACGAGTCCGTGCGCTACGTGCCCCTTTTCGCTCGCACGGTGCCGTGTGCCACCGCCTCTCACTGTGCCTGGTCGCTCTTATGTCAAAAGTGCCTACCACTCCCATCTTCGGCGCCTGCAAAGGACCTCGCCTCCCACGCGTCCCCCAACCCGTGGCGTCTGCCGCCCCCTCCCCCTCCACCGTTTTCCTTCTCTTCTCCCTCTCCCTCGCGCCCGCCCCCCCTCCCCCGTCCCCGTTTTCTTGCCCCTACCCTCAGTCCTTCGCCCACGGGTGCAGCGGGTCTGCCCTCTGCCATGCAGGACCGTGCCCCTTCTCATGTTCTGTCTACGACACGCATGCGTTGATGCATTCTGTCGGCACCAATGGGTGGACGAATCGTGTCCCCCTGGCAACCGCCAAGATACGATGCATTGTTTGGCACCACTCTCCTGTAAGACAAACTCACCCCTTGGACAGTCCCTCCCTCTCGGCGTCATCCTAATTACCCCATCCCTTCCCCTCCTCCCCCACCGAGCGCCTTGCCAAACCTGGATGCCGCCACACACGCCCACGTATCTCGCTCGCGGGAGTGCGACCAGGTAGGTGGACATAAAGGCCGCCACACATCGTGCACGCCCCCACTCCCACTTCCAACCCCACTCCCACCACTAAGGTGATCTTTGCATCACGGTCCAGCCGCACCACACCAACCTGTCCGAAAGCTCCCCCCACACACAAGATCCTCCTCCACCCTGCATCTTCGGACCTTCAGTGGTTGGGTGCGCCCCCGCACTGCCGAAGGGCTGTGGTAGCAAGGATGGTGCCAACGAGCTCACGCGGCCTTGGCAGGTACCAAGATGCATTTCCGCACTGGAGCCGCAGTGCCTTGGCCACGGTGCCTGGGCCATCCACCACGATTCGTTGGCACAACCCATGCGGTATGGACCCACATGGCCCCGAGCCATGCCCTACATCGGGCCACCGTGCCCTTCAGGGTGGCGCTCCAGGAAACTTGACCCACCAACGGGGTTCAGGCGCCCCTAAGCCATTGATATCAAGCTCCTCCTCCTCCTCCTCCTCCTCCTCCTCCTCCCCCTCCTCCTCCTCTTCGTCCTCCCTGCTCACGAGAAGGGCATGGTGGCGCCATTCCCCTCCCGATGTCGTGGGCCCCCGCCGCCAGCCCCTCCCGTGCATCTGGCAGTAGCGCCTGGCGGAGACCTGGACCGACAACGCCATGGCCTCTTCGAGGCCCGCGGGGGGCGGCGGCGGCGAGCGACGGCCCGGCTGCCTTCTGCAGACTCCCCCCCTCTGTGGCTGCGCCTCCAGCCGTGCTCGCAAGGGGTGCCCGACGCTCGAGCTCGCGAGGAGAGCAACAGAATCCGCCGACGCCTTGTGGGTTTCTCGACGTGCGAGATTCTTCCCCCCGCTGCAGTGTCCCTCCCGGGCCCCCGAACCAAGTATTTGATCCCCCCCTGGCCGCCCACGAACGCGGAAGGGGGGATAGAGGGCTCCCCTACGCCTAAGAAGTCCCCAAGACACACCCAAGACGGTCCAAGAAGGCCCCGAGTCGCAGAAGGATCATTGCAAAACGCCCATGGTTTGCCCAAGAGGCCAGCTATCAAGAGGCCTCCCACGATAAACCCAGGAGCCAAACATCGTCCAATTCCCCTTCGGGAAACGTGCATTTTAAGCATGTGCGATTCTTCGGCCTTCGCGGCGTTGAAAATTGCCCAAACGCGCCCAAAACTGGCCCAAGAAACTCCCAAAGAGCCCCAACACGGTTCAAAAGAGCCCCAAGAATACAGAAGAGGCGCCCCAAACAGCCCAACAAGGCATTAAGAAGGGCCAACAGCGGGAGCCCGAACCGACAATTCTAGCTTTCCGCCACAAAATGCACACATGAGGTCTCAAGAGATCCCGAACACATTCCAAGAGGCCGCAAAACACCCCAAACAACCATCAAAAGGCCTCCCAAGATGTCCCCAGGATGTGGTCGGGAAGAGAGCCCAAGATGGCCCCAGTAGTCTCCAAGACGGCCCAACAAATCCAAAACAACTCCAACAGAGAGGCCGAGACGGGAACCCCCACGGACATCCAGAGCCCTCGTTCTCGAGCGGGCTCGAAGAGGCCTCACGAACTCTCCAAGCGCCCCCAAGGGGCGCCTACGACTCTTCGTGGGCTTTCCCACCCCAAAAAACAAACCATGAAAATACCCCCACGTAGCTCCCAAGGGTCCCTCCATTATCGGCTCCCCCACGGAACCTCCCAGAAACTCGGAAGAGACTCCGATCAACGCAACTGAAGACTATGACCAACAATCTAGACACGATCGCGGGTGTGCCGAATAATATTTGATATGTGATTGCGTGGGAACCCGCGCGAACCATTATCCTCCTCCTCCTCTTCCTCGTGCTCCTCCTCCCCCTCCTCCTGTTCCTCCCTCTTCCCCGTCCTCCTCCTCCTGTCCGCATGTTCCTTTTCATAATCGTCGCTCTCCCTCTCGCTTTCCTTCCAAGTCCTCCTTTCACGGATTCGGTGCGTATAGCGAAATTGCGCAATCCATCTCCGATGAGGTCACCCGAAAAAGGAGTCATTCGCAGGACTTACAATTCAAGGTGCAGTTTTTGCTGGCGCGCGCGACGCTGTCAGCCCTCACTGAGGTCGCCGACCTGGGACATTTCTTTTGGCACGCGCCGCTGCGTTGATACGCGTGCAAACTGCGTGCCGTGAAACCGAGGTCCGTGCAGCCTGCGCACGCCACGCGGTTCTGTTTTGTCTCTCGTTGTTTGTCAGTGGAATGTTTCGCGCCAGAGAAAACTCCCCCCGCGCGCCGCGCATGTCGGCGGTTTTGTTCCCGCTTCGGTTCTCCGCTTGCGATTGTTTGACTCGAGCGTCAGATGTCTGATGATATTGCAGCAATGTGTGACGCTCTTGCGTGTGTTTCCGACACAGCCTCTCCCCCGGGGCGTTGTGTCTTCTGTGCTTCCGATATTTCCTCTTTCTCGTCGAATATTGACAGGCACGTGTCGTTTGAACATCGCACTGTGCCATCGCTCTCGTTCCAGTTCACGTTGCCGCTGCGCGACGTCCGCTTCGATTTGACATGGCTGCACTTCGCGCGACACATCGTGCGAGTCCTTGCCAGCTCCAAGTCGCCCCCAACCTCGCCGCTCCCGCCGCCGCCGTGCCGCGCCGGCGCAAGTGTTGCACCATCTCTCGTCCGCGCTTTTCGCTTCCGCCGTGCATGCTTTGCAGCGCGCAAGCCTGTCCTTTCTCTGGAACTCTTACTCAGTGGGCGCTTCTACCGGCAGCCTCCGCCGGCACCGCTCGCGCTCGTCTCGCGGCATCAGCTGCGCCTCCCATGCTTCCCAGATCCACGTCCTCCCCTCGGAGGTCTTGCAACGCCTTCTCCATGCCGCTCATTTCGCCTTCGTTGCGCGGCTGCCATCCAAAAAGCTAGGACATCAACGGTTTCTCTCGCCTTCGCACGGTCGCGACGGCCAAGTAATTGGACAATAAGCTGACGCCGCGCCCTCTTTCGAGGTCCGCTATCACCGCGCCCGTAGTCCGCCCTTGCGAGGCGTGCGCCGCCACAGCCAGCGACGGCGCGATCATGGGCAGAGCTCGCTTGAGACTCGACGGTGGGTACTTCCGATGCCCTCCCGCATGCAATTGGCGCCCTTTCGATGGGAAGACTAGATGCAACCCCAGCCCCCAGCTTGGGGGGGAGGGCAGTCCGTCGCGTGAAAGTCTAGCACAATCGGCCTGGGCAAATGCGACAATACCTCCTCGCCGTTATCTCATGCGACCTCGTCCGCGTGCGACGCCCATCGATTGGTCGTTCCTATGCGCCCCCGCAGCAGCTGCTTCTTCGACCGAGCACAGTGATCTCCTAGGGCGACGGGCATTCCCTTCGCCAGCGGTAGTCACCCCTGCAAGATTGTGCACCCCGTGTCGCGGTGGCCTAGCCGCCGCCGTGCGCGGCCGCCTCTGTTTCCCCCCGTGACAAGGGCGGTCTCCTGCTGCGACCCGGAGCAGCTGCTCTCCCCGCCCCTTCGCCCGCAGCGCGGCCCTCTGCCCCCCGAGGTGGCGCCGAGCGTCCTGGCTGGCATGCGCGGCGACGGCTTCCGCAACCTTCTCCTCTCGAAGCCGCGCGTGTTCTGGCGACGTCGCAACGCGCTTCTTCATCTTCGCTCGCCGTTGCAGACCTCGCACTCCAGCTCGATACTCTTGGCAATTGTCTCCGCGTGCTCTCGGCAACGAACGTTGCCGTGCTGCGCTGCGCCGTTCGCCCGCGACCCCGGCGCGCCCGTTGGCCTCCCGCGCGCGGACTCGCGCGTGCGTTCTGTCCGTGCACCTCGTCTAAACTCATCGCGCACTCCGAAGAACCAATCGTCGTGGCCCTCCGCGCGCATGCGCTCCGTCAACTCCGCCCCCCTTGAGTTGCCCCGTCGCCGCTGGCCCCCCAGGAAATGTGCTGGCCGCGGTCCTCCGCGGCACCGCGCGCGCACTTCCTTGCGTTTTCCAGGTGTGACGTGGGCAGCGCGTTGACTGCCGTGCCCGACGGCGGCTCGATTTGGTAGAAATCTCAGCAGAACACCTCGTTCGCGCCCCCGAGCGGCCCGCCGACGCCGCCACCTCTTGCCCCCTGTGTCGCTTGCTGCTGATATTCGCGACCGCAGATGCGGATCGAGCTCTACCTGGAAGATCGCGCTCGCCATGCTCGCCTCGTCGACCATCCGCCACTTTCGCTGTGGTGCCCGTTGCGCGCCCATTCCCTTCTCCCGTCTTCTTCCGCGCTCTTGCGCTGCCATCGCACCCGGCGCTCGGCCCTTTCGTCTGGGGAGCGCCAAGGTCGGGTGCACTGCGGGCCATTTTCCCGTCGAAGGCAAACGCGCTTGCAGCCTGCAGAGCTGCTGCCCGGAAATCTACGCCGCGCGCCCACCCGATCTCCCGCGCGAAGAATTCCTGTTGGATCTTGTCAATGACAGTGCCTTCCGCAGCCCCAGGGCCGCCGCGCAATGCCGCCCGTGGGGGCCGCGTGCGGTGGCGTCTGTGCCCCGCTTTGTTCGCCCTCGCCGGACTTGAGAATTCCCGCGCCCGAGCCCGATCTGCCCCCCCTCTCGCGACGCCGCGCGCTCAGCCCGCCGCCCGCGAGCCCGTTCTGCCGACTCAACTACCCGCGCAGCGCGCCATCGCCTCCTTTTCCGTCGCCGCCTGCGGGGCGCCCCCCGCCCCCCCCGCGCCGAGCCCTTCTTTGGGCTCTCGACGCTGCGGCCGCCGACTCCGCCTGTGCCCTGCGGCGTCGTCCCGCTTCAGCAGCGCCGTCCGCGCGTCTTGTCTTTCTGCCATCGCCCCCTAACTTCTCTGTCCATCCTCCTCAACGACTGCGCGCGTAAGTTTGTCGTATTTTTTCATGGGCGCGCCGACTATTATTGGGCCCAACTCTTCGGCGCCGCGCGACTCGTCCTCGCGTTTCGTGGGTCTTCGCCTGTGACTGGTCGCAGATCCACGACGCCCGCGTAGTTCTGGATGTAAGTCTTCACCCCTCGCACGGCGCGCCAATCTTTGAACGTTCGAACGACGCCTCCGTTCGCGATCCGCGCGCCCCGTGGAGATGCTGCAGATGCGGCGCTCCACGTGCCGCATCTCGTCGCGGCGTGAATGCTCGAAAGTACGCCGTCGGCAGGGCCCCCCCCCCCGCCCCGCGCGCCTGCTGCGGCGCCCCGCGGGAAGTCGGATTCCTCGGGCGCCGCGTGTCTAGAGGCTTCCAATTCCGGGGCATCGGGGAACGGCGCCCGCGCGCGTCGGCCTCGTTCCTTCGCCGCGCAGTCTGCCCCCGCTGCCAACTGCGCTCCGCCCGGAGCGCCGCCGTCGCTGGCTTGCGCGAACTCGCGGTCTGTGTCGCGAGCCTTCTGCGCGCCCGACGGCGCCGGCGCCGCCTGGCGCGCGTCGGCTCGGCGGCAACTGCCGACGAGCCCCCCTCGCCGCGAAGATCGGCTGCCACTTCCACGCGCCAGTGCCGCAGACATTCAGGCAGCGACGAGACCGCGAAACTGGGCGCCCCTGGGTTCGTCCGCAGGGCGCTTGCCGCGCAAGTGCACGGGGATATTCGAAGCGATTCTCGCCTTCTGCGACCCCTCCCGCCGACCCGCCTCCAGCGTTCCCAACGTGGCCGCGGGCGCATCTCCCCCGCTCCGCCAGACGCACAATTTCTGCCCCTGGCATCATGGCTGTTATCTCAATCTTCATGTTTCGGCCGCAGTCGCGTTTTTGGGGTCCCTGCGCGCGCGGGCCAGTTCGCACTCTCCTTCGCCGATCGCACCGCGCCTCGAAAGTACGTCACTGAGGAACGTCTTCATGTGCCTCTGTGCTCGATGCGCCGCGGTCATGTTTCTTCGTCTGCTCCGCCAGCGCATGGTGCCCTCCCTTGATCTCGCTCACCTCGTTACACGAAGGGCGCGCTGCTTGCGCTGGTCGCTGGTAGTCCGCCGCGTGCCCTGCTGCTGCGTTCTGCGTTTGCTGCGCTGTCAGCACCATGTCCATGTGCTGATTAATCTCCCAACTACGCTCATCGCACACGCAACTGTCGCGCGTGGTTTCCGTGACTGGGATCCTGTGCGGAATCTGCAGATCTTTGTCGAAACTTATACTCACCGCACCGCCCAACATCGCAGGCAGGGTGCCGTTCAAATTCTCTTCGTTCGTGGTCCGTGCAGACAACCAGCCGTGTTCTTCTGGTCAGCTCTCTGGGAATGTCACGAATTTCCAGGAAACTCTAACACAACACTACCGCGCGATCTATCAGCCACGACGTGCGCGGACTTGCACTGGACGCCCCCCCCTCCCGAAATCATCGTAAACAAAATACAGTTAAGGGTGTCGGCGGATGTGGCGCACGCCTGTAGAACCACCACGAAGCAGGAGGAGGAGGAGGAGGGGGATAATAATAATAGCAAAACGTCAGCCGACCTCCTATGATCAAGTACGATCTCGGCATCCGCAGGCCCTACGGCGTCGACAGTGTGACGTAAACCAGTCAATCCCCACGAATGCAGACTTCAACAACTACGCTGACAGAAGCGTCGGGCGTCGGCGTCACCACGAACGCTGAGGCAGCAACACTGTTACCGTCAGTGCGGTCTACGAGGGCGCACCACGTTGTGATCCCAAACTCATGTGCGTTGGGTGCTGTAATCATGTATGCCGCCCTGCCCCCAGCCCCGCTTGCCGGGGGTGACAAGGTGTGTGAGGTAGATGGCTGTCCCCCTCCCCCTTTGCCCCTCCTCTGGGGTCCAAAACCGCGTTTGACGGGGGGGGAGGGGGAACGAGCTCGCCAACTCCCTTCGGGGGCCGTCGGAGAGGGAAAGGGGTCTCAAGATGGACCAGGAGAGCCCCAAGAGGGCGCCATGACGGGCCAAGAGGGCTCCGAGACGAGCCAAGAGCGCTCCAAAACGCCCAATCTGTCTTAGGCCCAAGAGACCCCTACGACACCCCAAGAGCGCTCCAAGAGGCCCCCCCCAGAGTCCAACACCAATGATTTTTCTCAGGGTCTGCAAGATTTTAGTGTTATCGCCGTTTCGGGCTTCCGATGCTCCAAGACGGCCCCAAAGGCCCCCAAGATCGCCCCCAAACGGCCCAGGAAGCCCCCTAGAGAGACTCCAGCCGGCCGAAGAGGGCCCCACGGTCCAAGAGGCCCCCAAGGCAGCCTCAAGCCCAAGAGAGACCCCAAAGGGCAATCACTGACCGACATTTCGAGCCCTCTGCCCCGAGATGACACCCGAGATCGCCACCTGGCCCCCGACAGCCCCCGTAGAAACTCCAGGCGGGCCGGATAGAGGCGCAAGCAATGCCCCAAGAGGCTCTAGAGAGGCCCCCCGAGCGGCCCCAAAGACATCCCAACACTGCCTCCAAGAGGACGCCATGAACATGTATACTTGTCAACAACCGCCGACGCCTTAGGGGTTTTCCGTTCGTGAGCCGGCTCACTTCCGCACCCCGTTCCCCAGGAATCCGCCCTGACCAATTTGGAGTAAGGGAGGCCCCAGCGACGACCCCGACGGATTCACTTGACCCAAAGAGGCTTCACGAGGGAAACCTCGACAAGGTTCTAAGAACATCAAGCACCTCTCTGTCGATCTCGTCCTCTTCCTTCTCCTCCTGGTTACTCCCACCGTCGTCATCTCCATCGTCATCGTCATCGTCATCGTCGTCGTCGTCGGTTTCATTCCTTTCCCCCTTCTCCCACATGGCCCATGCGCTTGGACGCGAAAGTCAACGTGTTCTTCGCGGCGGGAAAGGTGCCAATAAGAAAAACAAAAAGGAGTGGAACGAACCAACAGGCTCCACTCAGACTCAGCTGGCAGACTTAATTCTGACTTTTGGATTCGTCGCACACCATGGTCGGCGCGAGGGGCACTACGTCTGCCGATTGCGGAGAAGTGGGGGGGCAGAAGGGGCAAGATTTGTATGGCCGGGCGGAGGTCGGTTGGCAATGGGGGAGGTAGAATTAAGGTGAGGTCTCTGGGCAAGGGTTGGCTGGGAGGGGAAGGGGGGCATGCATCCGGGCGCTTGAAACACTGCTTTTTCTAAGATGCAAATAAGAAGAAGGCGAAAGGGGTCGAAAGAGCCGGCAGACTCAATTCACACTTCACTTTGACTTTGGGCTTTGTCGCACGCCGTGGGCGGCGCGAGGGGCGCTGCGTCTGCTGATTGCCGGGAAGCGTGGGGGGAAGCCAGCGGGGCGAGTGATGAAGGGTTGGGCGGAAATTCTTTGGAAATGCGGGGGAATGAAATCGGACGGGGTGTCCGGGCCAGGGTGGGCTGCGTGTGTGGCCCATGCGTCTGGGCGCGAAAGTCAACGCGTTCTTCGCGACGGAGAAAGGTGTCAAGAAGCAGAATAAGAAACATAGGAATAATACCCCGACAAATAGGAGTATGATGAATTCGGAGAGTAGACTATATTTCTATATACAGGTATATACATATATATATATATGCATACATGTGTATGAGTATGCATGTGTATGTATGTATGCATGCATACATACATGCATGTATGTATGTATGTATATATGTATGTATGTCTGTGTGTATGTGTAAATATAGCCAGCAGGCTCAACTCTGACTCAGCCTATAGACTTGACTGGACCGACTCAACTTTGACTTCCGGCTGCGTCGCACGCCATTTGGGCGATAGACAGTCCGTCTCGCAATTGCGGAGACATGGGGGAGGGGCGGAAGGTTGAGGAATGAAGGGTCCGACGGATGTTTCCTGGATGTTTGTGGAGCGCGCCCGAAGGAGTGGACGGGTGGGGGGGTAGGCGGAGCAGGAACTCGGTCTTTGGGTGGGGGGTGCGAGGGGTGGGGTAGGGGGGGGGGGCGGCGCGGCCAGGACCACTGCGAACGCTTTGGAGAGCAGTTATGGGTAGGACAGGTCGCGCGGAAACGGCCGTGTGACAGGGACCCCCTGGTCCGAAAAGGTATTCGCATTCCGCGGTGGCATGGTAGGAAGGCGTCGGCCCGCTCCAGCGTGAATCTGCCCGTGCTGCTGCAGAGGCGGGCCCTGGCGAGGATGCGGCAGTATCGGGAACTCGCGCTGCCGAAACGCCATAATCATTCATGAGGGTTTCAGTTACGGGCGCGGGTGGGCTAAATGGAATGGGGCAGTACACCTAGGTATGGAGGGCTCGATCATTGGGGCCACGATGAGCATCATGAGCCAGCCTTGGTGCCTCCGACACTCTTCAAATTAGTGCGTGTGTGTGTGTGTGTGTGTGTGTGTGTGTGTGTGTGTGTGTGTGTGTGTGTGCGTGCGTTCTTACTCCCTATTAGCTGGACACTCCCGTTACGGGCGCCCACGTCATATTCATGTTCCTGCTGCTGCTCGTCCTCCTGCTCCTTCTCCACCTGGCAAATTCTTGCTATGTGTGTGTGTGTGTATGTCGAAGCTGAACCGTCCCTCTTGCTCAAGGCAACGGAATGAGGCCCTGCCACTCATCTGCGATCTATGGACACGTTGACAGAGTCGACTGCGCTGATGCTGTGAACCGCCAGCAGCCGAGCCCCTTCATGCCATGTGTTGCATAATCCTTGCGCAGACCAGCCTCCAGGAACGGCACGTTCGGGTCCTGATGGTCCAGCATGTGGGTAGCAATCTGCACCTGGCGGCTTGTCAAGTCTTATGTCGGAGCCCCTCTCAACCAATCACATGATCTCCAGGACACAGACAACGAATCGGGCGACTGCTAGTCGCCAAAGTCGCGGCACTCGTGTCTTGGACCGTGGGAGACAGTGTGCTCTCGCGTGCTTCCGCGGAGAAAGATAGCATCACAAGTTGCGCGGTGCAGTGCAGGATACGCTGGTTCGCCGGATGCGAGTGCAAGCGCAACTGCAAGTCGGAGCCCCCCTAATCATACACTACCACCGGACCTGCGCCCCAAGCCCCGAACCTTGTGACAGATGGCAAATCCTCGCTCCCGAATCGTATCTGGAAGTATGGCTTGCGCTGGGACAAGAGCGCCATTCAGAACGAGGGAGCACAGCGCCGAATCCTTAGATGGTGAACCACACATACATGTATAATATCTCAATGTTCGAAGCCCTGTGCGTGACAAGCAACACGCAGGCTATAATATCATGGAAGAGAGGCGAATCGCATTATCATTCAGCGCGTGCGGTCGAGGACAAAGGAGGGTGGCTGGGTGAGAAAAGGGGTCGGATGAGTTGTTTGGGAGCTTCTAAGCTCTACGTGGGGGGACTGACAGGGCTCCTTCTCCCTTCCTATCCTCCTCCCTCCTTCCCTCCTCTTTCCTCCCCTCCTCCTCCTCCTCCTCCTCCTCCTCCTCCTCCTCCTCCTCCTCCCTCTTCCTCTTCCATTTCCTCCTCCTCCTCTTCCTGCCCCCCCTCCTTCTCATCCTCCAACTCCTCCTCATTATCTTCCTCTTCTTGTTTGGTACCCTGAAAGTTGTCTCCTTCTCCTGTCTGATGAGCAGACTTAGATCAATGACCACTTTGTTCGACCTTCTCCTCCTCTTCCTCCTCCTCCTCCTCCATCCCTCTTCCTCATAAATAACCCTTGCCTGCCGCACACTGGAACCGGGCGGTAGAGCGGGCCACGCGTCTCCCCTGAGATTTACCTACCACTAATGATCCTGCAGCTGGAAAGTATCTCAGCAGTTTCACGGATGGAGTGCGGGTGGTTTTCAACATGTGGTTCTCGCCTTAGCGCCGCGCGCGTTCGTCTTAAATGTTTGGGCGACTTCACGGATGGAGGTCAGCTCCTTTTCAACAAATGGCTCTCGCTATAGAACTGCGTACGTGCGTCTTAAACGTTGCAAGAGTTTCACGTGTGGAGAGCGGTTCCTTTTCAAGAAGCGGCTCTCGCCTTAGCGCCGCGCGCATTCGCCTAACTAGTTTACAATGCTTTCAAGGATCTTTATGGTTGACGTCCCAGAGGCGGTGTTTTTGTCACGATTTCGGATTGTCTTGCGCGCCAATCATTCTGATTCGGCGTGTTGACGTCCCACACACGGTGTCCTGGCACGATTTCGGGTCGCCAGGTCGCAGCAGTAACGTTGATTCGCGGCGTTGAAGTCCAAGGAATGGTGCCTTGGCACGGTTTGATGTTTTTAGACGGTTGCCTTCCCACGGGGCTCTTCCCGCAGTGAATATAAATATTTCTAGGAGGGAACTTGGAGGGAGGGTTTACTGCAATTTCGGTGGCGTCCTGGGTTTGCACTGGCTCTCCTCCCTTCCTCCTCCTCCTTTTCCATGAGCGCGTGCGGGCTCACGCTATAAAGAAGGGGTTTTGGCGCACAGCCCTCTTTTCTCCAAAGACAGACGGCAGTGCGGAGAGAAGATCTCATCGGAAAGGCGAAGGACGGATACGTACTCATGCCTCTGGTTGCTCGAACAAGCAGCGCAACTTCGGCGGCGACGATAGGGGCGAACAGCACAGGGGCGGTATTTCACGCATTCGCTAGGGAGCCTCGCCGAAGACATGGACCATCGACGCCCCTGGGTACATGTATTGCTCCCCCCTGGGCTATTCGGCCCACTCGTCGCCTCCGAGAACTATCGTTCGCATGATCGTGGATGTCCAAGAGCAATGTCCAAGCCCTTGGGGCCTCCGGGAACTCGACTCAGGACGAAAACCTGGTCTTAGGGGAAAGAGTCGAGAGCTCGAGGGGCTGGGGACTCGGCAAACGTCGAGCCGTCAGAAAGCTGAGTAGCAGCGGGCAGGAGGAGAGGGGATGGTATATGCCAGCAAGATGACGGGAATGGCCCCTGCTGCATCTCTCAGGTACGTCCGCGGTACGTCCACAGGAAGAGGTGAAGGGAGGGGAAGGGGGGGTGAAGAACACGGGGCTGGACGGGAGGGCCGATGGGGAAGGGGGGGAGGGCGGGAGGAGGAGGGAGGCGGGAGAGGGAGGAGAGGAACAAGGCCAAGATGCTGTGCCACCGTGCCCAGCAAGCGCCTGGGGTATTTCCGCCAGGTGTCCCGCGTCGCTGATACCCTCGATTACGTCGTACTCGCAGCCCTGCGCGCGGCGTCGGGGGCGAAGTAAGGGCGCGGAGAGTAGAGGACGGAGAGATGCGGCCCCCTCCCTCACGTCCTCCTCCTTCCTCATCCCTCCGTACTCCTGCTCCCTCCACCTCCCCTCACCTTCCACCATGTTCCTCGTCCCTTGCCCCTGCTCGCTCTTCTGCATCCTCCTACTCCCTCCTCTCTCTTCTCTTTCACCTCCTCCGTTCTCCTCCGTCAACCTGCCTTCTCCTGCCTCTCGCCTCGCTCCTTCCTCTCTCCTCTTCCCTCGTCCCTCCTCGTTGCTACCTCCGCCCTCCTCTCTCCTCCTTTTCCTCCTCCTCCCCCTTCCCTCCTCGATGCTCGACTCTCTCTGCCCCCTCCTCACATACGTTCTTCCGCCTACACGCAGAATGAGCTGATGCTTCTGATCCGTCTCGTCCCTCCTGCCTCGTCCTCATCCTGCTCCAGACACCACCCCCACAAGGCGCCAACCCCCTTGGAAGAACTTGCAACCACCGGCGCAATTACTCCTCCGACCCAGGCCCTTGCGTGATGGCGACCAGCTCCAGCTGCATGTCGGCTGCGAGCACAGGGGGAAGTGAGAAGGGGCGGGCCTTCTCAGAAGGCTCGGGCGTCCCCCGGTCTTCTGAGAAGTTTTCCAAGCCTCGCCCGAAGACACGGACAACTTCTCAGAAGACGCGAGGGCTTCTGAGAAGTCCTGCCGCCTTCTGAGAAGGCCTCCCCCTTCTCACTTGCCCCCCTCGCTCGCCGCCGATCTTCCTTCGTCTCCAACCGAGGCCCCGACAGACGCCCAACTCTGGAGCGGCCAGTGGGGCCAGGCGTGTGCGGCAGTGCCCCAGCGCAGCAGGTCTCCACTCGCAGCGCAGTGGCTCCAGGCCCATGCCAAGGCGAACTGCACGAGCTGAGGCGCTCCAGCCCATCCGTCTCGTCGCCATTGTCCTCCTGTTCCTCCTCCACTCCTGGACCCTGTCCCGCTCGTCCTTCTCCAGGCAGGGCGAGAGGAAGGGAAGCGGGGAGGAGGAGGAGGGGGAGGAGGAGGAGGAGGAGGAGGAGGAGGAGGAGGAGGAGGAGGAGACGGAGGAATGAGAGGCTGCTCGGTGAAAACCATCACCCCACTTAAGATGTGGGGAACAAATCCGCCAGAGGTCTGGGTGTCCTTCTCCACATGGGCGACCGCCCCACGGGAGGTCCCGGAAGGCCCACCAGGGGAGGCCTTTGGGAGGCCCCCCCCCATACAGGCCGAACGTGTCCCAACGCCTCAATACTCCTCGATACTCCTTGTTCGTCGTCGTCGTCTTCGTCTTCGTCATTGTTGTGGTCGTCGCCTCGCAGTTCACGTGCAGCAGTTCGGCGGCGCCACCGCCGAGCACGTCTGGTGCCGCCTCCGCCGCGGCGCGCACGAGCACCTCTGGGGCCGGCTGGCCCGGGAGTGGGGGGGAGGGAGCAGGCACGCGGCCGCGGAGCGTTGCCTTCGGCCTTCGAGGGGTCGAGGGGGACGGTTTCTGGACGTTCCCAGGCGGCTCTGGGCACAGTCTGCCCAGACCGCCTCTTGGAGAACCTCCAGGGGCGAGGACCAGGATCGGAGATAAATTTTGAACGGGGGGTCACGCGCAGCTAGGGGCCGAACCCGCCCTCCTCCTCCTCCTCCTCCTCCTCCTCCTCAACCTCCTCCTCTTCCTCCTCCTCCTCTTCCTCTTCCTCTTCTTCCTCCTCCTCCTCCTCATCCTCCTCCGCCTCCTCCTCTTCTCTCCTCTAACTCCTCCTCCTCTTCCTCCTCCTCCTTCTCCTCTCTCGTCCCCCTCACGTTCTCCACTTGCTAAGCTGCCTCTCCGGACCCTGGGCTACCTCCACCAGAGTTCCAAAAGACCGCCGAGGCATTCGTGCGGCGACGGCTGCAAGTAACGCAACTCACGAAGGTAAAAGGAGGCGAGATCCCCGCCCTCTGACAGGGGCTGGCCGCTCGTGCGAGTCAGCATTCGCCTCGGTCTAGCCAAACGACGGCGGTGGAGGCGCCTGCTGCCAACTACCTGGGCTCCGCCCGCGCCCCTTCGCGCCCTGACGTGTCCTCCTCAACCTCCTTTCAGTCCGTCTCGCCCTTGTCCTTTCCCGTCCCCGTGATCATCCTGGCCATGTTCCCCTTGGTCTTCCTTCTCCTCCTCAACCTCATCCTGCTCCTCCCTTTTGTCTTCCTCCTGGCCTTCGGGGGCCCTCCTCGTCGCCACGGCTGGACGCAACTCGAACAAGGGTCTGGGGGCCGGCTTTGGGTGGATCCCTCAGACCCCAGCTTCGCGCTTCGCGCCGCGCGAAGCGCGACGCGCGCTTGACGTCGCGCCTCAGCGCCGCCACCCCAGAGCCGGACGGCTCTGCAGCCAGGGCAGTGGGGGGGCGAGGCGCAGCTATCTTCGCGCCACCGTGGGTGGCCTGGGGTCCTGCGGCCGCTGGGGGCAGAAACCGCCCTTGCGTCGCGGGCGGCAGACGAGGTGGCGGCGGCGAAGTGGAGGTTGGGGCGGTAGAAGTGGTGTTGGTGGTGCGGGCGGGGGAGGAAATAGAATAGAGGTGGAGGAGGTGATGGAAGATGGGAAGGATGAGTACAGACGTGGGGGGGGGGGACGACGGCCAAGAAAAGGGAAATCATACTGAGAAGGACCAGTAAGCCCGTTCATGAGCGGGTCGCGTGAACATGGCGCCCATGACAGCCGAACCGATGACCAAGAGAAAATTGGCCAACAAATCCAGGGCATTTTTGTTTGGCCGAATCCGGCGCAAACGCCAGGCGTGTTCTCGCGCGCACTGCTCGCGAGGTCGCAGGGGGCTATGAGGCTGGGCCAACTCCATCCCATAAATTGTCTTTCTCATCCAATGATGGCCTCTGGGCCTGAAAGACAGCATGGGGTAAACGGGTACTGAGGGAAACGCGCCCTGGGCCCTGGGGCCTTTTCCCAAGACGAGATCTTCTTCCTGAACCGTTTTCTGACAGTCCTGGGGCCCGTGGAAAGCCCTAAGAGCCCGAAAACGAAGAAAAACCTCATGACCTGTTTCCCTCAGGACCCGCTTCCCTCATGGCGAAGGGCCTCCGAAGGCCCAGACTAAGACAAAACCGGCCGCTGCAATTTCTTCGTGATGCTGGGGGAAGGTGTGCCTCCGCAGATATCGCCCCTGCAAGCCTCTCCTGGGGTGCGCTCTGGGCCCGAGCTTCGAGGCGGACCTGGCCGTGTGCCACGACGAAGGAGAACCGCCAAACCCCGCCCGCGGCAGACCCGCGGAACGGCGCGGCAGAGGCCCAACGGGCGTCGGTCTGGCCGCGCACGCCGCCAGCCGCTGCGCGGGGGGCTGTGGCTGCCGGTCCGCCAGCGCCGTGGGTCCTTCCTCCAAGTGGCTTCCTCCTGCCCAGTCGCCCAGTCTTGCCTTCGACGCCCACGAGGGAGTTCTTTGAACGCTTCTGGAACCCTCTTCGGCGTCTTTGGCTCCTTCCTGGCCTCTGATGGCTTCCGCGGGGTTCCAAGGACGTCTAGGGGGTCAGGATCCAGATCGGGACTGAATCTTACAACCTCCACGTCCTCCTTTTCCCTTTCTTTCCTCCTCCTCCTCCTTCTTTTTTCCCCTATCCTCCTTCCTTCCTCCTTCCTCCTCCTCCTCCTCCTCCATCTTCCTTTTTCTTTCCCCCTCCTCATGCCGTGCTCGACGGCACCCTGTTTCCAGCCAGATCAGTGGCCAGGAGCAGAGCAACGCAGCAGCAAACAGATCCTCCGTTTTCTCCGCCTCCTCACACCCTCCTGTCCTCCTCTTCTTCTTCCTCCTCCTCCTCCTCCGCCTCCTCCTGGCAACATGAACACCAGTCGAGCTCCAACTGCAAACACACCTCCTGGCCACCAGGACGCACTTGAGGACACGGTAAAGCAACTTCACGAAGCGGGAGCCACGGCCAGCGCCCCTGCCCAGCTAGCTGGCCTGCGTGTCAGCCAGGGCGGCGCGCGCGCCGCCTGCGCCTGCTCCTGGGCCAGCTCGCTGCGAAACTGGCGGGTGCTGGCGGCGTGGGGCGCAACGCCCAGCTGAGCGTCCCAGTGCTGCGCCAAGGCGCTCGCCACCGCCGCGGCGCGCTCCTCGTCCTCGCGTCGTCGTGCTCCGCGAGGTCGCGTGCCACTTCCCGGAGGTGGCGCAGAGCCGCCTGGCCGTGCCGTCCTCTAGTTTCCAGCGCGAGCGGCAGCGCTGGCCACGGGTAGCGGCCCTCCGGGTAGCGGCGCCGCTTGTCCGACTCGGCGGCCGCACTGGCGGCGCCGTCGCGCCTGGCCGCCGCGGCCAGCCCCTCCTCGTCCCCAGGCGCGGCGTGCCGGACCGCCATATTTGCGCCCCCCGAAACCACGAACCCTTGCAAATTACCCTATATTCGAGTTCCCGAGGCCACGAGCCAGCGTCCAGGAGCAGGCGCGGGCGGCATGCTGCGCCTCGATGTCGAGGATCGCTTCCTCGCGGCGGGCGGCCCTCGGCCGTCCGAAGGCGCCGCAAAGCCCTGGCAGCTCGTAGGTCGCGCCGCTTGTGTCGCAGCCACCTCAGCGCCAGGCCCAGCGGTCCAACGCGGGGCCGTGGACCTGGCGGGCCGTGTGGAAGCCGCACTCGGCATATATGCATTCCTGTATTTCACGGCCTTGCTGCGGGCCTTTGCCGCCCCCGCCGCAGGAGCATGGGAAGGCGTGGCGCCCCTCCCTGCAGAGCGGCTCATCGCAGAGCCTGCCTGCGCGCGGGCGGGTGCGCGTGCGGTTCGCGCAGGAGGCCCCCAGCGGCACCAGGTCTTGTCCGAGGAGCGTGCGCGCTGTGCTGCAGTAGTCGGACTCGCTCAGGCGCTGCCCTGCGGCTCCCACTGTCGCCAGCTGCCAACCGCCAGAGTGCGGTCCCCCGCAAGAGGCGAGCCTCGCCCCTTCCTCGCTAGCGCATGTGCTCCGTAGGGCCGAAAGGCTCTTGGGGTCCAGCCGCCGCGTTGGCTCCTTTTGCACCTCGCCTTCGGGCCGCGCGCATTCGTCTTACCAGATTTTGAAAGTTTCAATGATGCTTCTCGTTGGTGTTCCAGAAACGATGTTCTGGCACGATTTAGGATTGTCAGGACGCGACAGTCACGTTGATTTGCGGCGTACAGTTAGAAGTTTCAGGAATTGTGTTCTGCCACGAAGTCAAGGGATGGTGCTTTGGCGTGATTGCAGATCTTCTAACGGTTGTCTTCCAACAGAGCACCTTCCACAGTGAAAATACATGTTCGTAGGGACCAATGGGGAGGGAACTTAGAGGGAGGGTAAATTGCAACATTGTCGATGGGTTTTGGGTTCGCACTGGTCCTCGTCCATCTCATCATCATCTTTCCTTCCCCGCCTCCCTGCTCCTCCTCACTCTTATTTACTCTTTCGTCCTCGTCTTCTGCAAGCGTCTCAACTTCACCACCATGCGCGGGCATCGTTCTACCTTACAGTCGCGACTCTAGTGGAGGTCAGGGATGACTCTGTGGTATGTGATATCGCTAATCGATGGCTGTAATACCGGTAGTCCTTCTCCTCCTTCTCCTCCTCCTCCATCCTCTTCCGTCCTCTTCCCTACTGTTCCTCCTTCTCTCCCCTTCTCTCCCCTTCTCCCCCCTCCTCCTCCTCTTTCTTCCTCCTCCACCCCATTTCCTTATAACTAACTCATCCCTGTTGCACTCCCAAACGTGCCGGCAGGGCGGGCTGGGCGTTTCGCCTTAGACTTCCTTGCCATGCATTATCGTGGAATTTGAGCTTTGCAGAAGCTTCTCGGATGAAGGGCGGCCCGTCTTCAAAATGTGTCTCTCGCATTCGCGCCCGGCACCATCGTCTATACTTGTTGTAACAGCTTCACAGTTGGAAGGGGACCGTTTTCAGAATATGGCTATTTTCTCAGCGCCGCGCGCATTCTTCGTTGAAGCTTGCAACAGCTTCAAACGTGGATGTTTTTTTTGTTGTTGCTCTCGCCTTAGCGGCGCGCATATTCGTTTTCAACATTGTATCGGTCTCACGGATGCAGGACGGCTCCTTTTCAACATTGGGCTCTCGTCCTTGTCCTAGCGCCGCGCGCATGTGTCTAACAAACTTGCAACATGTACGCGTTCCGTTTCGAAGTGGGGCTCTCGCCCTATCGCCGCGCACATCGGCTTTAACCACTTGCGATATTGAACGGAGCGTGGGCGTTTTTTGTTCTGAGTGGGTACTTCTTGGAATTCAGTGCCAGAAGCTCGAACTTATGCAACAGCTGCACGGGTGAAGGGCGGCCTATTTTCAAACTGTGGCGTTCGCTTGAGACTTCTGTTGCTTTAAGGACCAGGAAATCAAACATGTGCAATAGCTGCACGGATGGAGGGCGGCTCCTTTTCAAACTATGGGGCTTTCGCTTGACACTGCCTTGACGCTCATGGACGCACGTAAGAGCCGGTGAAATAGTTACACTGCATGATGGGGTCGATCCTATTCAAACGAGGATATCAGTGGACACCTTCTTGAGCTGTATGATCATACCTTTGTGCGCTCCATATCATTCGCTGAAAGTGTGCGAGGCGGTTCGTTTATTGTCAAAACGGTGCTCTCGCCTGAATGGCAGTCCCTCCTCCATCTTATTGCATCTCTCCCTCCCCCCCTTTCCCCTCCCTCACCTCCTTCCGGAAGCAGGGGCGCGGGCCTCCTCCACGCGCCCCGGCGCAAGCCCAACGTCCGAGCGGTTCTCCAGGGTCCGCGAGGCGGTCCCGCTGACGAGCAGCCGCATCCGCCGCGTCTGCGCGCCCAGGCCTGGCGGGGAGGCGGGCGCAATCGCTTGGCTTCCTATCGCACCTCCAGTAGACTGGCAGAGATGGGGGGGAGGGAAGGAGGGAGGGGAGAAAGGGAGCAGGAGGAGGAGGAGGAGGAGGAGCAGGAGGAGAGAGGAGGAAAATGAATAGGCGGAGAGGGATTGGGGGAGAGAATGAGGGATGCAACTCGGGGGAAACATACAATACGAATGAAGAAAAGCAGGAGGAGAAGGAGGAGAAGCATGTGGTGGAGGTGGATGGGGAGGAGGAGGATGATGAGGAGGAGGAGAAGGAGGAGGAGGAGGACGAGGAGAAGGCGGAGAAGTAAAACGGGGAGGAGGAGAGGAAGGAGAGGATGAGCAGGAGCAGGTTGTGGAGGATGGAGAAGAGAAGAGGCGTTAGGGTGATGGGGGCGGTTACGAAGGTAGGGAGGGAGGGAGGAGGAGCGGAGTAGAGCGGATGTGATGGTGGTGGCTGGCTCGAAATGCGGGTTCAGAATCAAAGCGGCTCCCTTCCGAGGCTCCAGCATCGTCGTCTGACCTCGGCGGCCGCACGAGGAAAAGCCCAGGAAACATAATATAGGCGGCCCCAACTCACCGACACATAGAACTGTTGAACTACTTCTCTTCAGTGTGGGGGTATTGCCTCGTCGAAGCACGAGCGCCCCATGGGCGTGCCTCGCAAGCGGGAGCCCCGTTTTGAAAAGGAGCCGCCCTGCACCATCCTTGTAGCTACTGCTGCCCTTGCAGCCTCTTCGTGGTGACAACCGACGCACCAGACGCTACTTATACGACCTGCAACGGTGTGGCACACATGTTTCAATACAAAAAATAATCAACAAACGCCGAGCTCAAGCCAACTGCTGGCTGCTTGAGGTCTGACCTCGCCTCGCAGTGCCCTGCACACTCGGGAATCAAGACCAAACTCGACGCCTCGACAATCTATAACCATGTTGCGAGCCAGGGAAATTCCAGGCTGCAACGGTGCGACACACGTGCTGCTTTCGGTACCGCCCGCTGGCGAAACGCCTAGCGGGGCGAAGTCACATGAATACGTCATGGATTTTGGGACAACGTTGAAACCGACCGATGGCTGGGACCCGCGTGTGCCAAGCTTACGGAAAGCTGAGAGGCCAATACAGCAGCTTTGGCCACCGCGGCGGCGCGAGACCGCGGGGCGAACCAAATGCGGAGCCGAGCGTCGCGCCAAACAGATGTCTCCGTCATGCAGCGCGGTCCGTTGACTCGAGCGTTTCCTTTGCGGCCGTCAGGGCACGTGTGTGGTTCAGGTCCACGGCTCCTCCTTCGGCAAAGCATGCCTTGGCTAATCGAACTCACGTGGCTAAGCTGCTGAGTTTGGCAAATGCCACACCTACTCTGACACAGCGTTGTGGCCGCTGTGCGGAGAACGACGGGCACCGTGCTACAAAAGGGACGCGCGGGCGCTCCTCGACTCTCAAGCATCAACAGCATGGCTACAAGCTCATGGGGGGAGCAACTGCCAATGCGAACCAAATCGTCGCGGGTCACTTGGCCCCCCTCTCTGGCTCCCCAGGCTGGTATCGGGGGCATCATTGTCCTCCTCCTCCTCGCCGATCGCAACCTCCTCCATGAGCGCCCAGTCGGCCTTCGCCCGCTACACCTCGTCATCAATCAAGAACAAGCCCGCTGGAGCGAGGCCGATCAGACTTGCAGCTTGATGGCGGCTATTGCTGTACTGCTTCGATGCCCATGGGCTGCCTGCTGCATTGCTCTTAAACGTGCATGCTCAGATCTCACGCCTGAGGCTCCGCCTCGATGCGGGTAGCGTATGCATTATGTGAACATGCTAATTAGTCTTGCACCTTGCCATCATTTTCGTTGTTCTCACTTGTGCATTCCGACTGCTCGGCCTTTGACATGTCTCCACGACTTGATACCTGTAAGTGATTTTACCGTTCGATGTATGTGCGCTGTTCTTTGCATGTCTTAAGCGTGCATTTGGTCTATCTCAAGGCTGCGGCCCTGCCTCGCTGTGTATGTGCTGTGCATTCGGTGTTCGTGCTAGACTTGCAGCTTGATGCCGATTGGTGGCGTGCTGATTCGACATCGGTGAAGTGTCTTTCTGCATTATTCTTCAGCGTGCATGTTCTTATCTCACGTCCACGGCTCCGTCTCGCTGTGCATATCTGTTGTGCAGTATGTGAATGTGCTTGTCTTGCTGCTTGATATTGTTGTTATGTGGCTCCCATCGGTCCAATGCAGTGTTCAAGCTTGCGGGCATCAATACAGCGTGCGCGGTTGCGACTACCTTAATTTCCTGTTCTCGCTTTTTGACGTTGGCTCACCATCCGTTCTATCTTTGCGGCAACTGTCGGGGCGACGAGGCTCCCGCACACCCGCCTTCGGGCGCCACTCCTGCAGCGGGATCGGGAAGGGGTTCCCGCGCTACCGCCTTCGGGCCCCGCCCCCCAGCCAGAATGCGCATGGTCGTTGAATTTTAGGCTCCCTCGCTTCAGTTCCCTGCCACACGCGTGCGGATTCTTTCCAGCATGCATGCCTCGTCGCCTCTCTCCCCTCCTCGTTCCACTCTCCCCGCCTTTCCCCCCCTCCCCGATGTCAGACGCTGCGAACGCACTCTTTCGCGTTGCCGCCCGGTATGGCATGAAACTGCCGTCCAGCCTCCTCCCCTCTTCATCTTCTTTTCCGTCTTCTTCGTCCCCTCCTCTCCCCGGTGGCCCCCCCCCTCCAGGATGCCAGATGCTGCGAGCGCTCTTTTCCCCTCCCCCTCTGGCGGGGGGCTGGCCGCTCCCCGTGCGGGGGGTCACCCGCACGTCCCACAGCCCATCCGGTGCTGCGAACGCCCTTCTCTCAGTCCCCTTGGCGGGAGGCAATCCGCTCCCCGTGCGGGGGGCCATCTCCGCACGTTCTCCTTCCCCGTGTGAGAGGTCGCACGCACGCCCCGCTGCCGGCCTGGCGCTGCTGTGTGCCTCGCTTCCTCTCCCGCCCTCCTCGCCCGATACTTCTCCTGTAGGAGGCGGCGAGCGAGGGGGGGAAGTGAGAAGGGGCGGGCCGTCTCACAACGCTCGGAAGTCCCCAGGCCTCCTGAGAAGTTGTCCAAGCCCTCTCCGAAGACACGACAAACTTCTCAGAAGGCGCGAGGGCTTCCGAGAAGTCCCACCGCCTTCTGAGAAGGCCCGCTCCCTCTCCACTTCCTCCCCCCCCCCGCTCGCCGCCGATCCCGTCGTCGTCATCCCCCCCCTCTGCCCGCCCCCCCCCCTTCACGAGGCACGGCCTCCGCCCGGCAGGCCTTCGGCCGCCGGGTGGTCCCCCCAGCTCTCTCCCCCTGCCTCTGTTGAAGGGGCCCAGGGACACACAGATAAATACACAAACATCCCAGGATTCCCCATATTTTGAAGGTTCTCGTCTTCCCCCCCACTTCCCATGCTTTCCGCATTTTTCTCGGGATCGACGATCAATTGTGTCTGTGTGTTGTTTCCCCTCTTGATTTGCGCTGTGCCTCCTTCCCCCCTCTTCCCTCTCGCCTCCTTCATCGGCTGGCGCCTTCCCCTCTTCGTGCCTTGCTTTCCCATGGTGTGTGTTGGTGTGTTGGTGTGTTGGTGTGTGTGTGTGTGTGTGTATGTGTGGTGTCTCCTTCCTTCCCCTCGGCTTCCCCTCCCCCGTCGGTCGGCACTTGTCACTGGCGTCCGTCCGTCTCCTGCCTCAGCTGTCCGCTGTCGCTCCTTGCTTCTCCCTATCTTTGCTCGGCCTCCCTTTCCCTTGTCTTGCTGGCCCCTTGTCGTCCTCATTCGGGCCTGCTTGGCCGCTGCCTTGCTTTTCCGCCGTCCCGGCCGCTGTCCTTCTCTTCCTGTTCTCCTGACGACTGGGCGCTCGTGCGGCTTGCCGCGTGTGCGCTTGACGCCCTTGGCGGTGCGCCTGGCCGCAACCACCGACATGTATGCCTGTGTGTGTGTGTGTGTGTTCTGGCGGATCCGCCGTGCTTTTCCGGCCTCGTGGCCGCCCGCCCCTGTCAGCTGACGGGCCCCCCGCCCGCTTGGGCGCGGCTCTTCGGCCTGCCGCTGCGCCCGCCCTCCGTCCGCCTCCGCTGGCGCGGCCTCCCTGCCCCGCTCTGCCCTCGCCCTCGCCCGCCTGCGCCCCTGGCCGCCCAGCCTCTGGTTCCCTGCCGAGGCCCTTCTGCCCAACTGACCTTGGCGCGGCGCCCCTTCGGCTGCGCCTCCGCGTGCCGCTTTTTGCCCGCTGCCTGCTCCGCTGCCGCCCGGCCACTGGCCCGTGAGGGGCTGGCCGTCTTCCTGTTCTTCTTGCCGACACTGCGCGCGCGGCTCCGGCCGGGCGTGCGCCGACGCCCTGGTGAGTCACTTTGCCGCTGCGACCGAAAAGCGTGTCTGTGTGTATATATGTATATGTGTATATATATATATATATTATACGTGTGTCTGTGTGTGTTTTTGTGCCGAGGTTTCGCCTGGTGCCCACCCGGGGGCGCCTCGTGTGCTGGGTGGGTGTGCCGAGGTGTCGCGTGCTGCCAGCCCGTGGGCGCCTTATGGGCGCCTCGTGCGGTGGGTGGGTGCGCCGACGTTTCGCCTGGTGCCCGCTCGTGTGCCGAGGTTTCGCGCGGTGCTCGCCCGCTGGCGCCTCGTGAGCAAGTCATGGGCGCCTCGTGCGCTATATATGTGTCTTTATGTGTATGTGTGTCTGTTCGTTCGTTCGTTCCCCGCCGAGAGTGAGACGCCGTATCCGCGCACCGACTCAAGCCAGGCCGCACGCCAAGGCAAGCAATGCAGGCGGCGGTGGATGAGGGGGCGGTACGTGGGTGGGGCAAGGTCCATGTGTGTGTGTGTGTGCGTGTGCGTGTGAATGTATGTGTGTGCGTGTATGTGTTTGTTTCAAGTGCAGCGTGCGCGCAGCCGTGCTGTGCCCACCGTAGTCACTGAAGCCGCCAACCCAGGAGTTTCCCAAGGAACCTGCGGGGCCGAACACCCGGGTGCCCGACACTCAAGGGAATTAGGCCGAACGCTACGGGTCGGCGGAAAGGACACTCTCGCGCAAGCGCGTATCTGAAGCAATCTCATATACGCGAGACAAATCACTGCCGCTGGGCAAACCAAGTGTGGCCACCGATGCACCTCGCAGCCTGCACCGCATATCATACACACCATAGCTTACACCACATAGCTTGCACCACACAGCTTGCACCTCACAGTCTGCGCCGCATAGCTGAAACCACACATATTCTCTATCCGAAAGAAGTATGGACTCCCAACTGAGGTTGCCGAAAACCCCTGGGACACAAGAAATCACATGTGATTCTGCCACATCGTTCAGTGTACATGTGAATCCAAACCATCCTAGCCAGGTCGGGTATAGACCCCCCGCCATCCCTGTTAATTCGTGCCATGAGCGCACACTCGTTCATCTCCAAATATAACTTTTAATACTCTCTTGCAGACAAACAGTGTGCAAAACCAGCACGCGTGCGCACACGTCGAAGTAATACCAAACACGCAGGTGCTGCAAGCACTCTCACATGACAACTTCAAAGTATCTTGAGTTTGATGCCCGCGCGCATTCGCTGGAACTCCTGCGACAGCCATGTGATTTCAGTTATTTCGGCCAAGACCCGCATTCGGTCGTTGGCAGAACTAGGCTTAGTGCGACCTGATATCATGATGTGAACTGGGGGACACCCCCCGTCCTTTTCCACTAACCCGAACTTCCGTCACCCGAAAAAAAACATTAGCTGCGGCAGATCTGGTTTAGCGATTCTGGTCAATTTAGGGGCTCCGGGGCCCTACTACTAATCGGGTCCCCTTGCCTGGGGTCCTACTATACCCGACGCATTCTCATCTCACCGCGTGGTGCACCCGCGTTGATTTAGCCTGCGTCCACGGCGCGACTCCGCAGCACAATGCTGCCATGCGCCGGACCCACGCGCGCACCGCTACGCGCGCGCGCGTCGACATCCGTCCAACACCATTGTTTCTCGGGGATGGACAGAACCCCTATTAGTAAAACGTGGTTTAGTGAAAACGACCTCGGGCCCAAACCTGGCAGGCGCCAGCCTGGAAAATGACGGCCGCGGCGCCCTCTCGAGAACCGAAAACGGACAATTCACGAATCGACGTGTCAGGGTGGGGTTTCTATCCACCCCCGAGTTTTCTCGACGGCGGTCAAGACATATCTTTTCAAAGACATGGACAACCAACAACCAGACATGCTTCTGATTCCGCGCGCGCACATTTCCCCACCCTTCCCTTCGCCAGTGCCGCCGCATCATCGCCGCGATCGTCGTCGCCAGCCGCCACCATTGCCACCATCATCGGTCAATCCCTTTCATCACTGAGATGTGGACACCATCATCGTCATCGTCGTTACCAACATCGGCCCCGTTATTAGCTTTGCCGTCGACTCCGTCATCATCTGGACCACGATCGCTACATTCATCATCGCTGCCGCCGTTGCCGACGTCATCAGGATACCGCGCCCGCCTGGGCCACCGTCCCGCACTGGCCCGCGCGCCAGCGCGGCCTTTGAGGCGCGCTGGGAAATTCCCATTGGTAAATGCTATCGCGGCCGCGTCGGCTGTGCCAAACCAGCTGGTGGCTCTGCGCGCAAGCTTGAGCGCAGTAGCGCAGCCACAGAGATGCGCCAACCAATGCTAAGCAATCATCGCACTCGCGGCCGCATAGGTTTTGCAAAACACGTTCCGGGTCGGAGGGCGACATGTTTGCGTGAGCAGTGGAGCTGATAATTCGGTAGTGGCGTTAGTTAATTGTACCACATAGCTTGCACCGCATACCTTGCGCCACACAGCCTGCACATCCACAGTAGCTTTCACATCCACAGCGTAATTGCTGACAGTTTGGGGTCTACGATGGCAAGCGTGTCTTGACCAGGAGGCTCTCCTCCTCCCCGCCCCCCTGCGCGTGAGGCCCTCTACTCCCCCCTGGATTTGGGCTCCCCATCTTCCCGTGGTGGGAGACTCTGCAGGATAATGGGGGGCGCAGTAGGGTGGATCCAGTGTCAATATTTTGCCCACGCCTCCCGCCTTCTCGATGCTCCCCTCCTGCTTGCCCCATCGCCTTCCTCCTGCCTCTCCTTTCTCCCCCTCCCCCTTCTCGATGCTCCCTTCCCCCTTTTCTCACCTCCTCCCTTCCTTTCCATCCCCCTCTCCCCCCTTCTCGATGCTCACGTTCCCGTCTGGACTCGTTCTCCCCTACCGTCACTTTCCTGCCATCTTGTCCCCTCATGGCATGCGCACCGCGCCACTCCACACACCTTTCACCCTGCCCCGCTAACCCTCCTCCTAACGCTTCCCCCCCGCCCTCTCACTTCCTCCTCCTTCTCCTCCTCCTGCTCCTCCTCCTCCTCCTCCTTCCCCTCCTCCTCCTCCTCCGAGCGCGGCGCGGGTCCGTTTCCCGCGGGTGCTCGTTGATCGGGAGCCGCCGCAACCCCCCAACCCAGGTGCAACCCGCCGCTCGGCGGTGGGCCACCCCCGAGGAGGAAGGGGTGCGCCAGCCAGGTCCTATAGACTTCCATACCTGGGAGGTCGAACGCGCCCCCCAGGACAAGGTAGTGGACCACCAGGACCCCGTAGCGGCCGGCGAGGAGGAGCCCCGCGCTCCAGGCAGCTGCGCCAGCTCGCCGCCAGCGGCGCGTGCTCGCCGCCGCCTCCGCAGTGTCGCAGCTGTTGCGCCCGGCTGGGCCCGCCGGCCAGCGCCGCCCCCCGCCGCAGCGGCGCACGGCCCGCCAGCGCCCCCGCCAGGGCCCACCCAGTTAGCGCAGCAGCTCCTCGCCGCCGCGCCGCCGGCCGCTGCCCGGCGCCCCGCGCCAGCCCAGCAAGCAGCCCCGTGCCCAGCAGCGCAGCGCCGCCTCAGCCCAGCGCAGCAGCCCCCCGGCGGCAGCTGTCCCAGCGCCCCGCAGCAGGCCTAGGCCGTGGCCCCAGAGCAGCCTCAGCGCAGGCCGGCCGCGCGTCGCAACTGGTGGACCAGCTCCCGCTGCAGCGCGCAACTGAGCACCCGGTAGGCTCGCGCAAGCTCTTCCTGCTGCGAGTCCTCCGGGAGCTAGCTCTCTGGCCAGCGCCAGCAGCCAGGCCCGCGCCTCCCCGCCGAGCCGGCCGCCCGTCTCCACGGCGAACGCAGTGAGGCGCTCGCCTGGGTAGCGGGTGTGTTTGGCGCGCTCGGTCCGGCGGGCCGCGTCGCCTGCGCGCTTTGCCGCCGCACGCACGGCGGGCTCGTCCCCTGCCGCTGGGTGGCGGACAGTCACGTCCAGCCAGCGGCGGCCGTCGAGGTCGTCATACTCGACGTCCAGGATAGCCCGCTCCAGGACTGGCGCCTGCCCCTGCCGCGGCGCGCGAGCCCTGTCCCAGGTGGACACCCGCTGCTCGTACAGCGGCAAGCAGTGGCACCACCTGCCGGCAAGGCTGCCCGCGGCGCGCGCCACGCCCGTGTGCCGCTTGACGACACCTCCGCCCGGCTGACACACGGCCGCGTGGAACCCCGCCGGATCCAGCGGCGCTTTGCACGGCACTCCTCCTCCTCCTCCTCCTCCTCCTTCTCCTCCCCCTCCCCCTCCCCCTCGCCCTCCCCCTCCTCCTCCCCCCCCCTCCTCCTCCCCTCCTCCTCCTCCTCCTCCTCCTCCCCTCCTCCTCCTCTCCTCCTCCTCCTCAGTGACTCCTCCTCCTCCTCCCTCCTCCTCCTCCTCCTCCTCCTCCTCCTCCTCCTCCTCTGGGCGGGCTGCCATAATTGTGGAGCGTGAAGCCGGGGACGCCGCCCAGCGCCTGCCGGACGGGTGGCTCCCTCCGGGATAGGCTGGGCATGCAGCCAGCCGTCCGTTGGGCGGGCACGGGGGCGCCGCGCGCAGGGAGGGGCAGGGGCGGCGGGGATGGGCCCCACAGATTGCCCAAGCCGACTCCTGTGTCCAAGGGGCTAGAGACAGTGCATGCTGACTCGCCGTTTTCCTTCCTCTTCTTCTTCTTCTTCTTCTTCTTCTTCTTCTCTTCTTCTCTTTTGTTCTTCTTCCTCTTCCTCTTCTTCTTCCTCGCCTCCCCCTTCTCCCCTTCCCCGTCCTGGTTCTCTCTCCTTTCGTCTCGTTCTCCCCGTTCTTCCAATCTCCCCATCCCCAGCCGCAGTGCGCTAGATGTCCTTCTCTGCAGGAACCTTATAACCCCCTTATAACTTCCCTTATAACGTCTCTCACAACTTTACTCGCAACGTTCTCAAGGCGATCTTACAATTCATTGCAGTGCAGGGACGCCCATCCGGAGTCCGCCACGTGGAAAAATGTGGAAAAAGAAGCCTCACGAACCAGCAGGCACGGACCGGTCGGGCAGGCCCTGCTCAACTCACCGGGACGTGGGGGCCACCTCGGGCAGGTGCCTGCGAGCAGCCCAATACCTTAGAATACGGCTTGTCTCAAACCTCTTGAATCGTTATTGGAGCCAGGACAAAGACTCATAACGCCGAAGGGCGCAAGACAACAATGCTCCGATCGTACTTGGGGGCTCCTACCTCTCCTTTCCCTCTCCCTTCCCTCTCTCTCTCCCCTTTCCCCTTTTCCCTCCCCTCTCTTTCCCTTCTCCCCTTCCTCCTCCCCCAAGGGGTCCTCCTCCTCCCCCAAGGGGTCACAGGCCGGGGAGGTTTTTGACGTGATGCACAGGATTCGGTCTGCTTCACAATCGGGTCTGCACCACATGATTGGGTGTGCTTCACAGTCGGGTCGTTTAGCCGCACTAGGCATGATACTTCTGCTTCACAGTCGGGTCGTTCAGCCGCGCGAGGCATGATACTTCTGCTTCACAGTCGGGTCGTTCAGCCGCGCGAGGCATGATATTTCTGCTTCGCAGTCGGGTAGCCGCACTAGGCATGATACTTCTGCTTGGGTCTGCTTCACAGTCGGGTCGTTTAGCCGCACTAGGCATGATACTTCTGCTTCACAGTCGGGTCGTTCAGCCGCGCGAGGCATGATACTTCTGCTTCGCAGTCGGGTCGTTCGCTCTCATCAAAGTCTCACAAGTCTTCTTCTCATAAAGCTGTCAAGTCTCATAAGTCCTCTCCTCATAAGTCTCCTCATAAGTCTCCTCATAAGTCTTCTCATAAGTCTTCTCATAAGTCTCACAACCCACGCAAACCTTAAGCCTTAAGAAAGGACCCCCGCAACACCGAAGGGTGCACATTGGTCCCCCGGAGTCGCCCCGCCGCCGGGGGGCGTTCGAATCCATTGTACAGAAAACGTCACCTCTCGCTCGGCCCTCGAGGAAACCTTGCAATTAACTCAGGAATTTCGCTCAGAATCGTGTGTCCCAGTAACCTTACAAGAAGCCTCAGTGATACGGATGGTCTTTCGACCTGTCAAGTGTGTGTGTGCGTGTGTGTGTGTGTGTGTGTGTGTGTGTGTGTGTGTGTTTCCCTCTGACACCCGCTCGTCCCTCGCCCTGCCCCTCCTCCCTCCTCCTGCTACTCCTGCTCCTCCTGCCTCTCCTCCCTCTCCTCCTCCTCCTCCTCCTCCTCCTCCTCCTCCTCCTCCTCCTCCTCCTCCTCCTCATCATCGTCATTTTTGTCCTAGGACTGAACCTCTTTTGCCTCCTTGTTCACGTCATCATCCTTTCCCCGCCTCGTCGTCGTCGTCGTCGTCGTCGTCGTCGTCGTCGTCGTCGTCGTCATCCTTCTCGTCCTCCTCCTCCTCCTCCTCCTCCTCTTCCTCCTCCTCCTATTCCTCCTCATCACCATCCTCTTCCATCGTCGTCGTTCACAGGAAAAGCATAGAAATTCCTTCCTCTCCTCCACGTCCCCCTGCTGTTCCTCTTTCTCCTCCCTCCTCTTCGTCATTCCCCACCTCCTCCGACGGTTGCCCGTTCACTCGCCCTGTTCTGCCTGCGCACTTTCGCAGTGCACCTGGCGGGTCAGAATGTTGCGTGTCGCTATCTTCCAAGTGTGCCGGCATGATGCAGTGTGGAAGCGAGAGAGCAGAAAATGAGTGGAGGGCGAGGAGAGAGAATGGAGACGCGACCTCATATCTAAAGGACGTCATCCATGTGAGGGACGCCAGCTCACTTGCTTTCTGGCCCGCACGGGGCGATTCCGCAGGAGAGCCGCCAGGTGGGGCGCGCTCAGACGGGGGTAAGGGCGAGGCGCCGAAGAAGCTGAACCCACTGCGCACAGACTGGATCGAAGAAGCGGAAAGGAAAGAGAAGAGGGGCCGAGGGATGACGAGGGGCGGTGGAAAGGCGAGGGCTCGTGTGCTGGATAAGCGTGCCGAGGTTTCGCCACGTTGTCGCCAGTGGTTCGCGCCGGACTGGCTGGCCGTTCTGGGCGCGGGCCTGCGCGCGCTAGCGCGGCGACGTGCCAGCCAGCGCCAAGCAGTCATCGCAATCACCGTCTAGTGGGTTTGGCAAACCAAGTTGCGGGTGGGCGTGAGGGGTGATTGCGTGAGCAGTGGAATTGACAACTCACTGACAACAAACATTGATTCGCCCAACAAGGAATTCGGACTTAGCCCCCCCACTTGGGGTTATCCGTGCCCCTGGGGCCTGGGGGTGTGCAATTTACATATAAATCTGCCCCGACGTTCATTCGACACTTGAACTCATACCATCCCAACCAAGCCGGTATCGCTCCCAGCCCGCTCGTCCTCGCCAACTGAAACTATGCGCGCGCTCGTCCCTCAACAAGCATCCTTTGGCAGGAAGCCCTCTGCAACAGTTGAGACGAAATCCACGCGCGCGTCGTCGCGCGCGCATGCCGACATCCTTGCAAAGCCTGCGGTTCATCACGCATTTGAAAATCACGTGACCCGAACACATATGAAAGCCCTGCGCGCGCGCCCTTGCGAATTCTGACGAACATCACGCGCCATCCGTATATGCATGTGTTCATGTAGATATAAGTATCTGTTGTATGTATATACACTTGTGTATGCTTATGTACGTGGATGTGAAGATGCATCTGTACATTCGTATGTATTGGTATTTATGTATGTATATGCGTGTGCATATATGTACGTTCATAGTTATGCTTAAGTGTGTGGTTTTGCACATGTGTATGCATATGTGTATGCCTATGGATATGTCTAGGCATTTGCATATGCAATCATCGTAAACTGTATGTATGTATGTATGTATGTATGGATGTATGTGTGTATGTATGTATAATGTGCATGTACATGTGTACATGTATATGGACAACCCCCAGTACCTGCTGATCGTCTTCCTTTCTTTTGACGGTGTCCTTCTCTCCTCTTTCACCCCGTTCGTTCCCTCCCTTCCCCTATCCTCCTCCATATCGTCCTCCTCGCACGTAGCTAAGGCGGACCGCAGAGTTACTCCTCTACCTCGTATTGCTGTAGCATCTGCCCTCTCGCAGCACGGGCACACTCGAACATCGACCTGTCCCTCGACCCTCATGATATTATACATATCAAAAGCCAAAACCAAACGCTGGACCGATAGAGTGCTTTGCTCTGTCGTCATTTCCCCAGCGAGAGCCAGTCTTCTGGCGAGAAACCATTCAATAGACTCGCTGGGCTTCCAAATTTTGACCACCCCTCCCCAGAGCAGCGAGCAGGAGTGGCAACGAGTCTGCAACGAGTCAGGAAGAAAGAGCGAGAGAGAGAGAGAGAGAGTGAGAGCGAAAGAGAGGGAGAGAGAGAGAGATCGGACTAACTGGGCGGAATTCCGTCCACGGGCCGGCGCGCAAGCGCGCCGCGCCCGAAACAATTTGACCGGTGCTGTCGGCTAAAAGAGGCCCTGCACATCCGTCATGGGGGGACGGCCAGAGGAGGAAAGGGAGGGAGGGGCGAGGGGGACCCTCCGCAATCGAGCTTAAGGTGGAACTGTGACCTTGCATCGCGGTAATCCGAGCCCACCACGTTGGGTTAAGCGAGGCCTGCGCCCGTCTTTGGCTTGACGGTACCTCGCTGGAAGTGGCGGCGTCAATCCAGCACCCCTTCAGGACCCGCAGTGGCGGCAGGCCACAGTGGACGCTTGCCACGCGGCGCACAGGCCTCGATGAGAAGCTTAGCTGACGGAGCCCTTGGCGACGGACAGGTGGTCCGAGGTGGACTGGACGCGCTCGAGTGGTCGTGCGAGTTGTGAGACTTCGATGGTGTCGGCAGGCTGGGCCCTGTGGGGGAAGGACGCTGCCTGAGGCTGGCCTTCCCCCCAGGGAGTGGCGGCCTCAAGCGGCCCCGAGCTGCTGATGTTGACTGTCGTAGGGCCAGGGCTCGTCGGCGGGGCGCTGCGGTCAGGAGAAGGCTGAGCCGTCTCCGACGCGCCGTGGGTGGAGCGCTGAGCGGGGTCCCTGTGGGTGCAGGTGGGGCCTCCAAGGGCGCTGCCTGGCTCGTCGAGTGTGGCATGATCCCGTCCGCTCGCTGCAGAAGCGGCGGGGCAGAGCGCTTGGGACCCGGGGTCCTCGTGAGGAGGCTGCGTCCGGGCCTCTTCGCGGGAAGGGGGCCTGGCGGAAGAGGACTGTGCCGTGTATGCGTCCGAGCTGTCGAGAGAGCAGCTCGGGGCGGTGTGGTGGAGGCTGCGCCTCGGCAGTCGTAGCGCTGACCTGTAGAAGTGCTCGGATGGCCGCCATGATCTGGTCGGCGGTGCGCGGGGGGATGGTCTGTGTGCCAGTGTTAGTGCTCTCGCTGGCGCTGCGGTGGCTCACGTCGGATTGGTGGTTGGTGCATATGGTGCCATACTCCAAGCGGCTGCTGCCTGTCGTGAGGCCAGGGGTCGTCATCAAGGCACTGCGGTCAGGAGAAGGCTGAGCCGTCTCCGACGCGCCGTGGAAAGAAATCTTGAGCCAAAATTACTACGGAGGAGAGGGAGGAAGAGGAAGAGGAGGAGGAGAAGGAGGAGGAGGAAGAGGAAGAGGAGGAAGAGGAAGAGGAGGAGGATGAGGAGGAGGAGGAGAAGGAGAAGGAGAAGGAGGAGGCGGAGGAGGCGGAGCAGGAGGAGGAGGAGGAGGAAAAGGAGGAAGGGGACGAGAAGGAGGAGGAGGAGGAACAGGAGGAAGGGGACGAGGAGGAGGAGGAGGAGGGAGGAGGAGAGGAGGAGGAGGAGAGGGGGAGGAGGAGGAGTGGGAGGAGGAGGAGGAGGAAGAGGAGGAGGAAGAGGAGGATGAAGAGGAGGAGGAGAAGGAGGAGGGGCGCCAGACCCGATGCAGGCCTGGGCGGTTTGCGCGTTTTCAATAAGCATTCTTCTGTGGAGGCCGAACGAAACCGAACACTGATCAGAACACAAAAAACCCAAACACAAAAACAACAAAACAACCAACACCAAACAACAACACCAAACTTTCGAATAGAACCTGGCGGTCGGCCACGGAATTATATCTGATAGTGTTTTGTTTAGTTTACGTGGTTTGTTTTCAATGTTGTGTTTGGTTTCGCCTTCGGCTTTTTGCTGTTTTTTTCGGCTCCCAACCTTTGATTTCTTGTTTTTGTTTTCTTGTGTTTTCTTGTTGTGTCCTTGCCGTTGTGGGGGAAGGGGGGAGGGGAGTGGGGGGGGAGGGAAGAGGACGGAGCACGGAGAGCGAGGACGGACAGGGAGGAGGAGGACGACGACGACGAGCAGGAGGAGCAGCAGGAGGAGGAGGAGGAGGAGGTGGAAGAGGAGGAAGAGGAGGAGGAGGTAGAGGAGGAGGAGGAGGAGGAGGAGGAGGAGGAGGAGGAGGAGGAGGAGGAGGAGGAGGAGGGAGGAGGAGGAGG